TATATATATGGTCGCTTTTAAGCTCAAGGGGCTATCCCAAAAACGCTGTTTTGAGAAAATCGAAGGTAAAGTTTTTTCCCTTTGTTCAGTTTATTAAAAAGACAAGGAGAGTTTTCTCTATAACCAAACAATTATACACACCAATTAAACCAAACTTCTCCTATAGGTAGGTCAACGCCCACTTTTGGGGTAGGTCAAGATATCTGGAAACCCCCGAAATCTGGGTAAACCCGCTTGTCCTTAAAAGCGACCATTTAGTGAAATGTCACAAGATAATAATACCATACCCTGTATCTAAAGAAATTCCTCGTCTGTGGTTGGTGGGTGCTCTAATGTGGCTTGCTCCTTCTTTCCTATCAAACATCTATCATCCTTATCTCCCCATCTTCTATTTTGTTTTTGTTACTCTCTTGTAATGCTTCTAATCTTCGGCACTCATAATATGACCATATTGTGTTGCGAGCACCGTAAAACCTTACTAAAACAAAAGAAATTCCCTCCTTTTCTCCAGAGCTCTCAAGTGACGAACAAACGAGGAAGTCAAAGCATACCGGCCGTGAACTCTGACCCCAACAAAGGTCGCTCGGTGTCGAAGGACGGCCTGATCTACGTCACCGTGGACATCAATCCAATGACCAGCAAACCAGAAATGTCGCGGGGCGTAGCACAGGAAGAGAGCAAGCATGACCAGGTGGATTACGCCTCTTTGGATTTGCTCTCCATGTCGGTCAAAAACGCGGAGCTAAAGAAAGAGGGCGGGGCTTCTGGGAAGGACTAAATAGAAGAAAGATGCGGGATGTGTAGTAGTGTGGTGGACTTACGAGAAAGGAGGCGGAGTTACAAAAAGAAAGGGGTGGAGTTGACGGGCGGGAGTAATTTGAAGTTACAGGACGTGTGATGGTGGACTTGTCAGGGAAGGAGGCGGGGCGGTATGAACTTGAAGCTATATACAGAAGGTGTAGCGATGAACTTGTCAGTAAAAGAGGCGGAGCTACAGAAGAAGGGTGGAGTTTCTGGGTGGGACTAACTCAAATATACATAAACATGTAAAGGTGGACTTATCAAGGAAGGAGGTGGAGATACAGAAAGAAGGCGGCGCTTGTTGGCGGGACTAACTCGAAGATACGTATACAGGAGGTGTAGCGGTGAATTTGTCAATAAAGGAGGCGGAGCTACAGATATAGGGCGTGGTTTCTGGGCGCGACGAAGTTGAAGATACAGGATAATTATGTATCAGCGCACCTGTCAGTACTGTCAGCAAAGGAGGCAGAGCTAAAGAGAAAAAGTTGGGGGGTT